ATATGTATTAAGGCGTGATTCTGAAAGGTATCCGGCGGTGACATTTTCAGAAGTGTAGACGACGATTGGTTCAAAATCGGTATTAAAGATAACATCGGGTCTGTGGCCAAGATACTAATCTGCGGTATTCCCAATTGGCCACACACAATTTGGGCACTTTTAGAATCTAAAGACGTTAGAGGTCCGACTATCGATATCACTCGTTGATCTACTAAATTACACACTGAAAAATTATATCGGTATTTAATTTTATTAATAGAATAATTTTAATATAACGAGTATAAATTTACCGGCTGTAATAACTTCCAATTGCGTAGAAGCATTCTCTGTAATCGGAATCAGTTTCGTATTGGGTAATAAATTCGAATCTGAATTTATATTGTTTATAGCTAACCGAAATGTTTCTTCTAATACAGGAAGATAAGACGGAAAAATAGCACCTGAAAGGTAAATGCAGCATAAAATATGAAAAGAAAGTCTATAACAGGATAAATTTAAATTAGTAAACTGATTTCTATGAGATTATCTATTGTGTATCATGAATTACATATCTCGTTATTAAAACAGCTAAAGTTAGTGCATTGAAAAATATCCGAAAAGTAAAAATAAACTTATCTTCCACAATCTTACCAATAGCAACTTCAAATGGTATATTATCACCAGCAGAACAGAATAAGATTAGTAGTAGTAATCCAAATCTTCTCATAATTTCACATCTTAATGAAGCCACGTGTACGTCTTATTAGCTTTAACGATATAAAACTTCTACAGAAAAGACGTATAGTTCTAAGTGTTGAAAATCGATATATTGGTGCTAACTAGCTGCTGTAGCTGCTGAAGAACTAGTTGCGCGAGTGTTAAAAAATTCATCTTTATTAATTAATCTTCTATTTATTGTTAATATCTTCATAGTAATTTTACTCTTGATATCAATGTACACAATTATACAAAAAAATTTCATATTTATTTTATTTACTTTTTTAGTGTTGTTTTCTGCATATATCGATCTCGAATACACACACATGTATTGTAATTACAAGATTTTTCTGATAATATATTAATATCGTTTTTATGTTTGAAAAATATTCACGATTAAATTTATCAAACCATAGAATGAAGTTTAATATTTCAAGTTCATATAAATTTATAATAAAAACTTGTCCAGTGAATAAATTATGAAGTTTACATTCAAGAAAGTCGAAAATCGATTACTTTTATGTTTGAAATTATTTACATTTCCGTTTTATCAATAAACTTGTTAAACTATGAAATATTTATTTTGTGTAGTTCATCTCATTATAAAATTTTATATCACGCAATGCTTTGTTTAATCGATTAAAACTCATCTATAATTTTTTTTCTTCTCATAATAATATTTTAGGGTAATAATTTTGTTAACATAAAAACTGTTTGTAATTTTAATGTGAAAAAAGTTATCATTTTTTAAATTTGTGCGTTGCTTAATTTAATAGAAAGAAAATTGGAAAAACCACTAAACTTCTTTTGTTAATTTTAAATACTTTGAATAATCACAAGAATATATATCTGTTTAACCTGTTTATACCTATTAAAAATATATCTATATTGGCAAATATTAAAGTCGGACGAATAGCCGAGTGGTTAAGATAGTAGCCTACCGCTTTGGGGCTCCTAGGATTGAATCCGGATAGAACGAAAAACCCTAGGTGTTTTTCTGAGTTGATCAGTTTGATTATGTCTCCATTGAACCCATAATGGACTTTCTGAAAAAGGTTTTCTTAGCTCCCAAAGAGTGGAAAAGCATCTAAAAACTATTGCAGTCATATTTAGATGTAGAGAAGAGTTTCTACTTTAGCAGATAGATGACACTACGTCATAGATAAATACTGTAATTATGCTACCCTAACCCTTTACTACCTATTAAAAATTATAAGTGTACAGTACATTCAGTGTCGGATTTACCATTAAGCTTGGGGCCTCTAAATTTTTATTTTATATTATATTTTGTTTAATTTATATTGTATAGGTCTTAAAATTAAATAATTTAAATACAATTTCACTATATGAAGAGTTTATACCTTTAAAAACAAGAATGACAGATTAGGTTATTATCTTAAAAACACTTAACATTTTGCCTATTAATCTATTTATGACTCGTAGTTCATGTTCAGAAAATCCGATTAATGTAAAATGAATTTCGAATGTACAGTACAATTATATTGACATTCCTCTTGTATCGAGCCAAAATTAGTAAAACTTACAATAATTAAAGTACTGAAGATCGTAGTATTATAAACTTATATGGTGTAAAATTTTATAAAAGATATGCAGACGATGCGACTTATTGATAATAGGCTATATAATTCAGATAAGAATGAAAGTTTAAATAAAGTAAATAAATTACATGATGATATTAAATTTACTATTGAAGGTAAAATTAATAAAAGAATTAATTATCTAGATTTTGTAATAGTTAGGAAAACAGATAAATTAGAATATAAACATTATAGTAAAAAATGTACTGATATGAACGTAGTAGTGGAAGGAAATGTCAAGATAATCGAAAGAATTGTTTGTTATTTCGTTACGTCGTCAATGCATTAACTAATTACTGCATATTACAGATATTTTGGTTACAGTTTTAACAATAAAAGTTTGCATATCTAAAATATTTTTTGGAAAAAATGGTCCTCTTGGTGAATATAGAGTGAAATGAGTCAAAAATAAAAATAGATTAAACATTTCCCGAATATTTTGTGTATTTAGTACAATACGTTAATTATTCTTAAGGTGGCCAGATTTTCCCAACATCAATCAGTGAGAAGACAGCTTTGACGAATAAAAAATAAACTTTGATGCACAATTATTTTATTTAAAACAATTAAATTAACATCTCTTATTCCATCAGACATTTTATTACATAAAGTCATAAATAATCCAGTTGAAAAAAGAATTCCTATTTTCAAAACACGCCATTTTGCGGCACTCACACCAGAGAATAGAAATAAGTTGTCGCATAAAAAAAATCAATAATATGTATTACAGTACTTCATCTGTCTAATTCTGAGTGACGATTCCGAAATAATAAACAAATCTTAGATCAGTTTCGAAATGCACCTTCACACTTAAATTATTTGGAAAAACAGGTTTTATTTATATGACATAAAAAACAACTTTTTGATTTTCTCCCATCAAAATCGAATAAAGAACGAACAATTATTTATTGTCACATCGTCACAATTCCGGGCTACAATTTTTTAAAATATTTTTAATTTATTTAATTTAAAATATATGTTTTTCACCTCAAATTAACACTATAGTGTCTTTCCCTGTATACATCAT